TTCCCCATCGTCCGGGGGGGGGGGATGTGGGCCTAGGTACATGCTATTCCCCACCTCCAGCGCTGACCCCGTTCTTCCAGGCCAAGGCTTTTTAATCAATAAAATTCACTTTCTCGTCAGTGTCCCTGTGGGCTGTGCTGAGGCAGGGGGGCAGATCTGGGCTCTCCCCCGGGCCTGCTGGGGAGAGGCCGGACACAGGAGTAGCATGGACACATAGGCGGTGCTTCCTGGCCTGTGTGGCTGCTATTCCCCACCTCCAGCGCTGACCCCGTTCTTCCAGGCCAAGGCTTTTTAATCAATAAAATTCACTTTCTCGTCAGTGTCCCTGTGGGCTGTGCTGAGGCAGGGGGGCAGATCTGGGCTCTCCCCCGGGCCTGCTGGGGAGAGGCCGGACACAGGAGTAGCATGGACACATAGGCGGTGCTTCCTGGCCTGTGTGGCTGGCGGAGCCGGCTCCCCTTGGGGGAACTCAGCTGGGGAGCCCTCAGCTGCAGCAGAAGTTGGACCGGTGCCCGTGCAGCCCCCAGCTGTGTGAGCTAGTCGGGGCAGCCACACCTGGGTCCTTCCTTGGTCCAGCCAGGCTGCCACCCGCAGAATTCGGGCTCCCCAGCCACCGCCCTTCACACCGTCATTCCCACAGCAGGCTGCACCCTGCGCCCCAGGGAGGGGGAGTCGTCCCCCAGCAGGGAACGTGCCCCCCACCTTCCCCTTTCCCCTGTGCCCTCGCCGAGCTGGGGACCTCCCCCCACGGGCAGCGCCCCACTGGTCAGTGGGGAGGCCCCTGCCTGGTGCAGGGCAGCAGGGCACAGACTCAGTGCCCAGAGAAGTGCGTGTCAGAGGCGCATTGGCAGAGCAGGGGTGGGGGCGCCCAGGGCTGGGCTTGCAGGGGCTGCGAGGTGGGACAGGGGCCAGTGGCCACAGGGCCGGGCACGAAGCTCCAGTGGGCATGGAAGAGGCAGGGCCCTGGGCGGAAGGGGGTTCGGGACGAGCCTCCCTGTCTTCTCCCAGCCACACCCCATCACCTGGGCTGACTGACGTGTTGCGCCAGGCAGCCCCGGCACCAGAACCAGAGGGAGGCCGAGACTGACATTCTGAGCCAGGCAGCCCCGGCGCCAGAACCAGAGGGAGGCCGCGCAGAGACGGGGAAGGGGGGAGCCAGGCCGCTGGCTGGGTAGAGGCTCAGCCCTGGCCTTGGAAGGAGCCACACGGGGCCGGGGTGAGGGAAGCGGTTTTATTGTGGGGAGTCCCAGGCCAGGCCTGAGCGCAGGGGGTGGGGCTGCCCCCAGGGAGCTGGGGCAGGGCTGGGACCTGCGGCACAGGGCGAGCCGGGTGCAGGGAGCAGGGGCACCCCCGGCAGGATGGAGCAGGGGGCCCAGGCCGGCACAGCAGGGAGGGCAGCAGGACCCCGGGGGGGAAGAAACCCCTCAGGGAAAGCGTGAAGGGATCTCGCAGATAAAGGGCAGACGAGTCTCACAGCTGATGCTTCTCCAGTGACCCCCTGGCAGAGAGAGCAGGTTAGTGCCCGCCGGCCGGCACCTGGCCCCCCCAGCCCAGTTCCTCCTCCAGGGCCCCCCCGAGTCCCAGTTCCTTTCCCCAACACCCAGGGGCTGCCATCCACCCCGTCTTTACCGGGGGCTGGCGTAGGATCCCTAGGGAACCCCAGGCCCTTTCCCAAACAGCCCTGGCCACTGCAGAGCCAGTGGGTCCCAGGGCTAGAGCCAGGGGCTGTGGCTCCAGGGGGGGGGGGGGAGGAGCGACCC